ACAACGTCGTTGCCAAGCGACGAAAACCCAACCCCGATGGCAAACACCAGGGGGGGGATGGTCGCGTTCCGTCGATTGTAGATAGACTACTCCGTAAAATAAATCCTCCGCACCTGAGGGTTCATCATTCACCGCTACAAACATGTGCAACCCTCCTATCCTCCCATCAGTAAAGCTCGATACACAAGATTACACCCACATTGTCTTGTTGAGCCCACGAACGCTCAAGAGGAGTATCACTATATCTGTGCCAACAGGATAGACTATGATAATAGTACGTTGAAACTACATATGATGTGCTTTTTGTTTTGTTCTTTAAATGGCCGCGCGTCCTTCCCCTGTACTGTGTATGTTGTAAATGATGTGTTTTTTTTCTATGACCGCGCATACTTCCCCGGTTTCCCCTCTGTCCTTTCCCCGTCACTTGCACCAGCTATTTGTGGCGTTTGACGCCATCATGAGGGTGCGGAACGGCTTTGCCCTGAGAAGGGCAGGGGACGGCACGTTCGGCAGACCTCATCTGCCCAACGTCGACGCCCTCATCCGCCAGTACTGCGTCACGGACGTAAGTAGCGTATAACAACATATTCGCCTGATTGAGAGCGTAGCATCTGATTGAGAGCGAGATTGCGCGATACGCTGTAGCCGGACTACCACTGAGAGGTGGAGCTTGCTGTGTAGCTTGAATTGAAGGGCTAGCCCGTAGCTTCAAGCCGCTACCCTGGTCATCCTGTGGGAGTCTCTCGTTGTGGAGCTACAGCGGGGAGCAGAAGCTACAGCAGAGCCCACCGCCCGACGCGATACCGCCCTGAAACAGTTTGAGCAGAAATAGCCAATCTGGGCAAATCTAGCAACTTGTCTAGCTCCTCGCTGCAGCATCCGATGACGATGACACGCATATGCTCGCGAAGCTGCTGATGAGACCTTCAATTTGCACCGCTTCTTGGAATAGCCCGTCCCCTACTTGCCAAGAAATGGCAAGAGGCGTCTGGACCCGAAATTTCAATTTTTTTGGCTCTCGCTCTCAATCAGATACTTCGCTCTCAATCAGGCGAATATGTTGTTGTATGTCTTGCAAACAAATAATACAACAATTGACTGAAATAAAATGAACACACACGTGCGTTTTTTACCAATCTCTGTCGAACATGGTTTGCAAAGATTGCAATTGACAATCACCCGAATATGTCCAGATCATCTGTGTTTGGTACAGCAGTAGTGTAAACATCGACACTGACTAGGAATCGTTCCACATTGAAGGGGTCTTCCACGATGCAGGTACACAATTAAGACACCCGGGTTATCCGCGCCATCTCTGCCGCGTCTCTCTACAAAACCAGTGACGTCATCACACACACCCAACACCTGTAGACTATTCAAGAAAAAAACGGAAAAATAATTGACAATACACAGTTTATATTTGCTCAAGAATTCTGGATTATTTTTCTGCAGGCAACCAAAGAAAAACCCAAGACACATTAATCAAGTTGAGAGCGCAGGTAAAATGCCGTCTTGCTCCCAACGTTATCTCATGGGACTAACCCGTTGCAAACTTCTCAAGATTGCCCTACTATCATTACTATTGTTTCGGCCTCTGGCCTAACCATATCTTGCTCATAATAAACTACCTACACGGTACTCCTAGTCGTTGACCGACAAGACCCCCCCATGCTCCCCCTCTCTTGAGCGACAGGTGTGGGTGGGCGGGAAAATCGATCAAATCCTAGAAGGCACTGCGTGTTTGCTGCTCCTCAAAGCTTCTATCTCTGCTACTCCTCTCCTTCTCTCAAATGCACTTGCTGCTTGTCTCTCGCCCAGCGAGAGCACAAAAACTTTCTGCCACCAGGGCTGTCTCTACTTTTCTTCGATCCCCGCTTTTCCGAATTCCAACACGCCTCCACAAACCACAGATTCAAATACGTACTGAATCTTCACGTTTATGTTTGCTCAAGAATTCTGGATTATTTTTCTGCAGGCAACCAAAGAAAAACCCAAGACACATGAATCAAATTGAGAGCGCAGGTATAATGCCGTCTTGCTCCCAACGGTATCTTATCGGACTAACCCGTTGCAAACTTCTCAAGATTGCCCTACTATCATTACTATTGTTTCGGCCTCTAGCCTAAACAGATCTTACTCCATTAGGCATGTCCGATCACCTACTCCTCCGAACCGCTCCCAGGTCACTCCTCGGGTTCCGTAAGGGCCTGAGACACAAACTTTGCTCCTTCACCCCCCGCCCTAACACACACCACAAAAGCCGATTATTTCCACCTCCCGGCTCTCTGGATCTGAATCACCGACGCCCCCATACTTGAGCCCCGAGTCGTCCGCCCAGATTTCTGAGGCTCGGCACATCAGCAAGTACGAGCGGGCAAGTCCACACCAGATCAACTTCCCTTATTCTCCCGAGTTTTCGACCACGCACTTTCCAGCCTCTAGCATGTCCCAAGAAAGTGGATTCCTAACCTTAGGCTTCGTCTGCGTATTGGCGTGGACCCTATCAATGGTCTTCAACATGGCAAGGATCTGGAAATGCGAAGTGGGCAACTCCCATCCTGCGTGCATCTTA